CTTTTTGAAAATAATGTCTTCCTCTCAATTCCATGTGGAATTGGAGAATGGGAGGTGTGGTCTTTCCTTTCTGGGGCTAGCCTTAGTTCCTTGCCCAGCGCTTTGCTTAGGAAAGACTCACAGATGAGCAGCTTATCAGAAGGCTGGATCTGGATATTGGTGAGGGCTATGTGGAGGACCTTCGCCAGAGGTCCTTGAAGACTTGGGAGCTGTCTCTGAGGGCCTTTGAGTCTGAGATGAGGGACAGTTCTGAGCCTGAGCACTGAGGTCAGTCCTGGACAATAGCTGTGGAACATTACTTCTGGGCCTGCCTGAGTGGGCACAGTAACCTGGGTGGGGTCCCATATGTAGAAACCCCACACTAAGTTGGGGTGATGGGCTTTCCAGTTGCCTCAGGGAAACGGCTTTCCTGTCTGGGCCTCAGTTTTCCCATTTTGTTGTAATGAGTCACATGAGCTCAGTGGCTCTTAAGCTTTTTGAACTCTTCAAGACTTTGGGGAAAAGCCATGGACCTCTTCCCAGGAAAATGAACACATGTCTTAGGAACCCCCAAGGCCCATGGCCCACAGGTGCTGGCCTATTGATCCACCCACCTCCCTCCTTCATACCGGGTCTGTACATATGCTGCCCCTCCTGCCCTGCATGCTCCTGGCTTAAAGGAGGTCACGGTGCTTCCTTGCCCTGTACCGCTCAGTGCTGATGGCAGTGGTGGCGAGTGATTCTTGGTTAAGCTGATGGTGTAAGGCCCTTCCAGCTGTGATTCTCAGACTGACCTGTGAGTTTCAGAGTCCCTGACTTCCTTTGGCACACAACACCAAATGCCTTTGCTTTAATGTCTCCTGAGCCAGGCAGAACCGCTTCAAAGCAGAGGCTAGAGGATCCAGCACAGTGCTTGAGAACCTGCCCCTCGCACCCTGCTGGCTGACCTCCAGCCGCTCCTTCCCTTTGTACGTGCACTGGACCTAGCCCGGCTCCCACTTAGAGTGTTCCCACAGCGCTTGGAGCTTCCTCAGATTGTTGTGTTTTTCTCCAGGAGGGAAGTGACCAACATGAGACTTTCCTCCCAGCAGACAGATTCACAAAGCCTAGAGCCTCGCCCCGGGTGGGTGGATGCACCATTACAGGGCTCTGTGGCCTCTCCTTGCTTTGCCATTGCTGTCTTCAAAAACACTCTCCCTCAAGAAGTCGGCAACACTCCGCAGAGCTCTACACTGTGTCCAGTAGTTTCTGGCATGTAGGGGAGGGCGTTCCTGAGAACTCCTCGCTTCCCCTAGCCACAGTGTTACCTCTCTGGTTTATGTCACCTTCCACAATCCAAATGTTATTCCTATGGTGTGTTTGTGAGGTTTCATTTTAGTTGCACTGAGAGAATGAGTTACTTATCAGTATTGTAGCAGACCTTACTGTAATGTGGGGGAGAATCCCCGTAGGGGCAAATCGTTTTTCTTAAGCGTATTGTTTCGTTTCGTTTCCTTCCTTCCTTCCTTCCTTCCTTCCTTCCTTCCTTCCTTCCTTCCTTCCTTCCTTCCTTCCTTTCTTTTGTAGATGGACACAATATTTTTATTTTTATATGGTGCTAAGGATCAAACCCAGGGCCTCGTACATGCTAGGCAAACACTCTACCGCTGAGCCACAACCTCAGCCCTAAGTGTATTGTTTCTAAGGATTGGTAGTGTGCAGGTTAAAATGGCAGCAACTGTTTTTGTGTGCTGAGACAGGGTTTCACTATGCTGCCCAGGCTGATCTTGAACTCTTGGGCCCTGGTGTTCCTCCCACTTCAGCCTGCTGGGTAGCTGGAACTCAAGGCATGCACCACCACAGCCAGCACACAATAACTGTTCTTTATTGAGCACCTGCTGTGTGACAACATTTTTAAAACATCTTATTTAATCTTTAAACTACTTGATATAGTGGGTGGCAGAGTTATACACATTTTACATACGTGAAATCCAAGGTTTAGAGAGGTTAAGTTTCTTTCCCAAGTTGCTCAGCTTGGAAGTACTCACACATTTATCCCCCTGTCCTTTTTTCTCCTCATCTGCTGATGAGGAAATAGGCAGCAAAGTATGAAAATAAAAATTGGGGAACTGGATCCCACACTCTCAATAGAATATAGACCTGATTTCTCCCATTGTCTCCCCCACCCCACTAGGGCCTCTGGGACCTGGGGCAGATGCCCCTGCATTCTGAGCCAGGGATTTGGGCTTGTGGTAGCACTGTCATTCTTCAAGGAGTGACGGCTGACTTGGGGTCATTGTGGTCTGACTGAAAGTATCAGGCTCATCTTCAATCCTTGCCAAGTATTTGTGCAGGATTGTCAATACCACCTTGGCTGAATAGTGAGCCTTCAACTTCTAGCAGCTTTATACTTTTGATTTGTCCTGTCTTCGTCTCACGTAATCTCCCTAAAGTATGAACCGGAAGTGGTGGCTTCTCCATCTTAGATGACGAGCATGGCCACCTTTGGTGATGGCTCTAAACCACTTGGTCTGAGCTAGGAATTCAGGAGGAATCCATGAGATCAGGTTCTTCTGTTTGTCTGTCCCTCTCCCACCCAGAATAATTCACATTGGATCATTTGGGGGCTGTGATTACCTGAGAGGCAGTTGAACCTAAGTTCTCATTAAAAGCTGCTCTCAGAGAAATCCCAGTTCATTTGAAAGTATCCTCCTGACATGAGTTGTTTGGATTTTGGGGTGTATTTGCTTATGTACACACTGTTACAAATGTGGCAGCTGAGGAACTGCAGGGCCAAATCTGAGCCCAGATCCTACCTGATATGTTCAGTGTGTGGGCCCAATGAGGGACTGCCATACTGCCAGGCCTAGGCACAGGGGAACAGAGGTGCAGTTGAGACTGTAGCACAGGGCAGGGAGGTGTAGCCGTGCTCCAGTTGCCTCCCTCCACTCTTGCCAGGAAAGGAGGGTTTACTTATGGTCAAACTGCTTAACCAAGTTGAGCGCTTCTTCACCTGTCTGCCCGTTTGTTCAGCAGTTAAGCTGTGTCGCATGCCAGGTATCTGCCTACTGGGTGGCATTGTCAGTGCTGCCATGTGTTGGCAGGTCAAAGCTTGGCTTGGGTGAAGGGGGAGATTAAGATGCAAGTTGTTAATCAGAGTCTTTTTGATCTACTGTGGTTTTGAAGATGATCTGAACGTAATCTGAAAGAAAGAGGGTCAGATATTACATCTGGTGTTGATGTAACATTTTACCTAAGGAACACTGGCACAGTGTTTATTGGGAAAAATCAAGGAAGCCCCTTGGCAGCATCTTGGCAGGGGAGTTGATCAGTGGAGGGGAGTTTGTGGGGTGGGCTGCTGTGCCAGCTGACGGATGCCATGGGACATGGGCATGCAGAGCTCTTGCCCTTGGCTCTCCAGCTGGGGTTGCAGTTGGCCTGGGAGGAGCTTAGGATCAGAAAGGAAGCGGAGCCTTCGTGACTTTGCTCTTGGCTGTTGCCTCACTGAAGAAGTGAAACAGACACGTGAAATTTGCTTTGCCAAGTTTGGAATCTGAGGATATGACTTTAGAAAATGATTCCTATATTTGTGATCAAAATATGAAGACTTAAGATCTTGTAAAGATCTTATAGAGGGGTTGGAGTTGTAGCTCAGTGGTAGAGCACTTGCCTAGCACATATGAGGCACTCAATTCCATTCTCAGCATCTCATGAAATAAATAAATAAAATAAGGTATTATGTTTTCAAAAAGACCTTGTAGAGATCTGGTCCAGCTCACTCATCCTCTATGAATGGACAAGGTCATCTCTTCAGTTGGAGCTGGGGCTGATGCAACACCACAGCCAGGGTGCCTGGAAGTTGTCACAGTATGGAGTTTCTCTGGAATTCCATCTCTTTGTTTCTGTGGGTCTTTATTTAAATATTTCCAATCCTATAGTTCTATAATTTGCTCCCATATTTTACGTTCATGCCATGACTGAAGCAGGAACCTCCCCCCTGAGCTGACATAGCCTCACAACTAAGATTATGAACATTTAACAGTGCCCATGGGCCAAAAGCTTCCTGACCACTGGGCAGCATGCTCAGTCCTGCATAATCGCTTTCTTTTATTTGATCCTCATTATAGCTGAGGAGGTGAGACTGACATGTTGCCCATTTAACAGATAAGGAAACCAAGGCTGCTGCACTTGTTGGCTAGCACAATAGCAGGGCTGGAATTTGAGCCCAGCTGGGTGGCCCCAGAGCTGACACTCTTACCCTGGATATTCAAGGGGTTCCTTAAGGGTTTTTTTAAACCCAAATTCCGGGATTGAATTAAATGTCATTCACCTTGATATTTTCTTCTGTTTTACCAAAGAGTAAATGGCTTTGTGTTCTTGTGTTCTTCTGGCAAAGCCATTATTTAGAATGTAGGTGCTGCAACACTGTCTCCAGCATAGTCCCTGCTACATGGAGCGCAGGCTTGGAGCTCCAGGTTGCGGACTCCTGGCTACATTTGTGCCCTGTGGTCTTCTTTTGGAAACAGGCCTAGCTTGCATTTTGGTGTTTGGTTTTCCTCTTGGAAGCACAGTATGAATGACGCAGCCTGTTTCGCTGATGGATTGCTAATGGGAGCGTGTAATCTGGGAGTGAGACCCTTCTATAGAAAGTGTGACTTTGGCCTTTGTGAGATTGCTTCTCGAGGCACACCCCAGAACTGGCCCATTGTGACTTTCAGCTTCACCTTCTCCCACAGGGAAGGCGGTATTGAGAGTTTGGAACACAGTCCACTCTCTAGGGCTTGCTGATGAGTAACTGTCAAAGCAGGGCCTGGCAAGAGCTACTTAATATAGACTATTACGAGGCCCACCGGTAGGGCGCGAGCAGGCCCTTTCCGCTGGTTTCCTCCCTGGGACTGAAGAGTTTGAAAAGCAGAGGCTGAGGCCTTTCCGAATAGAATTCCTCCTTGTCCTCGGGAGGGTGTGCCAGGGCTCTGCTGCCGGGTTATGTGGAATATCCCAGAGATGAATCCCATTTCTGCCAGTGACTCTGTGGTCTTTATTTGCTGTTCAACAAAGACGCCTGGGCTTGGAAGGGCCCTGTGATCCCCTTGGCTTTAGAATGGGCAATGCTGTAGAAAAACAGAAGCCCTTGAGACGAAGCCAACTGTGCCCCTGGAAACAAGGTAAGAAAGTCCTGGCCTTGGTTTCCTGAAGAGTCGGGAGGCAGGCTTCTGTTGGGAGACTGGCTCAAGGCCAGAGCTGAAACTGCCTGGGAAACACCTTGCATATCAGAAAACTCCACAGTCCAGAGTGGTTTAAGGAAATTAACAGACACTTTTAAGGAATAAAATGATTCACATCTCATTATGATGGCTTGGCTGAGAATTCAGTTCCACTTGGGATGTTTTCTTCAGTGTAGATGGGTCTGTTTGTTGAAATTGTACAGCTTTTAAGACATTTTCCAAAGTCAAAGTGTTGATACTCAAGAGTTTGAGTCTTTTGTGATATTTTTGTTTTAGAGAATGTTATTAATAGATTTTAAATATATACCACCTTCCAACGAATTCAGAGTACCTTCTGTAAAAATTTCTCGTGTTCATCCATCTTAGACTTACTCCATCTCTAAGTATCTCCTGTTAGTGTCAGCTCTGAGGAGAAGGAAGCCCCAGCAGGGCAGTGCTCCTGGACCCTGAGGGCCTTCTAACAGTGAAATCCTGGGCAGTTCCCACACCTCTTCCACTGCTGTTTAACACAGTAGACCAGCAGGGCTCAGGCCCGGAGGGCATGTCAGGAGTGGCACTTGCCAGATTTCACCAGGTCCTCACCTTGATGTGCCAGAAACAGTCATGATAGCATGTGATCTACAGCAGGACAGCTCCTTGGCAACTGTGTACGGGTGTGTTAATGGAACAAAAAAGTAAACTGGAGTAAAATGCCTAGGAATGCTAACACTGTAGAATTTTTTTTTTTTCTGTTTTAAAGGGAATCATAGAGTGATGCTAACTTACTGTCAAGCTCCAGCTTTTCAGACCCTCTGTAATCATTCTTTTGTCTAACGTTTTACTTTTTAAAATTGGTGCATTACCATATACAGCCAGAGGAATGAGAAGTTGTGCTCCATTTGTGTACAGTATGTCAAAATGCATTCTACTGTCATGTATAACTAATTACAACAACAACAACAAAAAGAACCAGGATGGAGAGTTACAGAAAAAAATACAGTAAAAAATAAATTTAAAAATATATAGGGGCTGGGGATGTGGCTCAAGCCGTAGTGCGCTTGCCTGGCATGCGTGCGGCCCGGGTTCGATCCTCAGCACCACATGCAAACAAATATGTTGTGTCCGCCAATAACTAACAAATAAATATTAAAAAATTCTCTCTCTCTCTCTAATAAATAAATAAATAAATAAAATTGGTGCATTATAATTACACGTAAGAGTGGTATTCATAATGACATGTTCGTATATGTAACATAATTTGTTCAGTTTCATTCCCCAGAACCTCCCTTTTCCTCCGTTCCTTCCCTCTGCTTGCTTTCTTCTTCTCTCCTGCTCTCCCTTCTATTTTCATGACATCCACCCCCCTTCTCTCTGGATTCCACATGAGAGAAAATATAACATTACTTCTTAGTGGTCACTGATTGGATCCTGATTTAACAAGGGGTTATCAAATACATTTGGGGGACGACTGGGGAGAACTGGACAGAAGATTATGATGGGAAACCATTACCCACCCCTCTTCATGGAGCCCGGAGCCTGGAGCTTACCAAGCTTGCCTCTACCCTACAGCTACATCCCAGTCCCTGTTGTTACTTTCCTTCCATTTGGCAGCAGCGCTGAGCTGTGTAGAAGAGTGTTTTTTTTTTTTTGGCTGGTCACGCTGAAGTATTAAGGGTGAAGAGTTCTGTTGTCTGTGATTCACTTTAGAATGATTTGGGGACTGAGGTGTGGCTCAGTGGTGGATCACTTAGCCCTAGATTCCACCTTCAGCCACCAGGGCAGGGTGGGTAAGGTTCAGCAAAATAATACATACATCAGTAAATGGTACTTATGTGAACAGAACAAGGCCAGTTCAAAAAATATCAACACCCAGGTCAGGTGTTGATGAAGTTAGTTAAATTTTCTTTAATATATTTGAACCTATTTTTTAAAATATGAAAAAGCCAGCTGCTGAATCACTGCAATGCAATGTCTCTCAGGATGAACTGTAGCATAGGCCATGTTTACCAAGGCGGGTCAGGACCCTGCACTCTTCTGAACTCGGTGTCTGTGGGCTGATGTCTCCAGCTGCCCAGAAGAAAATCAGCCTTGATCCAGTAACTCAAAGCACCACTTTTATGATAGAAATTTATATACTTACTTTTGAATTATCTCTGGTTCTTCTTTAACAATATTAAGAGTTAAAACTTCTTATATTATTCCTCAGAAGCAGCTGGGTTTACAGATGAATTTCAAGGGAGTTCCACCTGCTGTTTTGTTTAGTGTATTTTTTCACCAGGGTGAGTGCAGTTCTAGGACCCCCAAGACCAGGAGGGCTTTGAGGATTCATGTGGGTGGGGAATGAAGAGTGGAGCAACTGGTGGCCCAGGATCCCATTGGCCAGGATCCTGTCTTTGCGGGTGGGGTTTGTGTGTGTGTGCACACACACACACACACACACATAAGTCAGACCCAGGATGGAGTTTGTCTTCCTAGTCAGAACCCAGAGCCGTGTCCTGAGTTGCTCCCTGCCCTGCAGAGGAGTAGGCCTTCACGGGCGTGCTATTTTGTCTCTGTCATGAAGCTGTGCATGTTTTGGACAAGCCATACAGTCAGGGTCTGCTTCAGAGCTAGTTAGTGGGAGACCTGGCTCGCCCTCCTGGTTGCTACAGGTGACCAGGACAGCCCCGGTGGACCCTGACTTCTGCCCAGCCTTCTGCCCTGTATTGGAAATCAGACTTGAGTCAGAGCCCAGGAGGATGGAAGGGGAATTTAAAGGAGATCATTGTCTGTGATTTAGATCAGTTACTTTGTTTCTATAGTGCAGTTCTAAAAAATGGAATTTTGAAGTGGTGGAACACCTGTGTGAGTGGCCTGCCCCCCCACCCCCACCCCAAGCTCTGCTTATCTGCCACTGCAATGATTCCAGGCAGTGCAGGACATGCACCCAGCCAGGGACCAACAGCATGCTGTCCGACTTACTGTTCTGGTTGTTTTTTTAAAATATTTTTACAGCCTCAAAAATGCTTTATGTTCTTTTCTTTTAATATTTTTAATTGTAGATGGACACAATGACTTGATTTTATTTATTTATTTTATGTGGTGCTGAGGATTGAACCCAGTGTCTCACATGTGCTAGGCAAGCGCTCTACCACTGAGCCACAACCCCATCCCCTGCTTTATGTTCTTCACAGAAATGAATAATTTCTGTGGTTGATAAATTCGACTCATTGCCGTCATGAGTTCTAGAAGGTCTGCATCAGGTGGGAAGCAGGACAAGACAGTGGTGGCAGTGTGGCCCTGAGGGCTCCAGCAGTTCTACCTGTGTTTGCCATCTGACCTTGAACAACTGAATCCCTGTGGCCTCACCTTCTCCAAGTGACTGCCTCTTACCAAGTTTTTTTACTTCCTTTAAAACAATGGGAATTTTTATTTTAAAAATCTGTTTACCACCTGATTGTGAACCCCCTAAGGGCTGGGCACATGGCCCTTGTGCCCCTGGAGTGCTGCCTGGTCCAATGTCACCAGGTTGTGAATGAGGATGGGCATTGCAAGGATAACGCCCTGTGGTTTGCTGCTGCCCCTGAATGTGCATGGAGTGCCATCTACCAGTGCTGGCCAGGGCTCTGGGCACTTATATTCTTAGCCTTTCTTTACCCCCATGGCAGAGATGCTGGAGAATGAAAACAGGTAAGTGGTCTTCTACCCTGCAATAATTCTGAATTTGCAAAGAGTCATTTTACTGAGGATTGTTCACATTTTAGGAGATCATCTCACAAAAGGCCTTTATAAAGAATCATCATTTAATTTTTGATTATTTACCCAGACATCTAGGGAAACTTTGAAATTGAACTTCTTGAAACAGACCCATAATCCTGCTCTCCTAGGAGGCAGGCAGGTAGGCTCTCTCTTCCTTTCTCAGAAACAATTTAAAGGGTTGCTTACAGTGTTCATTTTGGCCCTGGGAAGTATAACATGGGGGCAGAGGTTTCCTTGGGAATTAAAAATTGCATCAATAATTACAAATTCAATTGTTGTCTCCTTCAAAGATCCTTGCAGCTTGGGGCCATACCAGCCTGGTAAATGAAAATGTTAATGGTTTGCATGTTTACACACAATGTGCGTGTCAGTGAATGAAGTCAGCACCCGTGGAAGGGCTGACTGTAGAAAGCTCAGCCCTGGTTGCATGGGATGTGCGGTGTTGGGCAGGAGACTGGCAAGCAGAGGCTGAGCTAGGGGGAGATTTGCCTTGGCTTCACTGTCTAGTTTCCTGTGCTGTAGGGGCAAATTTAGAGTTTTGGGTTGCAGCCAGTAAGAGGTGTTTAGACTTGCCTCTGCACATTAAGTAGTGAAGAGGAATCTGTGAGCTGGATACCCATGTGCTAGGTAGTATCTGTCCAGAATGTGCAAGGGCCCAGTCTGCCCTCTGTCCACTTGCCCAGTGCCTTCCAGCTTAGGGATGGGGACAAACTCTTTACATTCTCAAGCATGTCCTGATCTGTAAGTGAGATTATAATGATTCCCACTTCCAGGGAGTATTGTGAGAGTTAAATGAGTTGATTCATGTAAAGGAATTATGGCCTTCAGCATACAGAAAACATTTAATAAATGATAGCAATGCTTGTTATCATTTGTTGCCAAGTAGGAAGAACCTGGATTTATCAGGTCTGTGGACATGGGTCCTAGGCCTAGCTTTCTCCTGATCCCAACTAGTTGTGTGAGTTTGGATATTTCTTTACTCATTTCCTTCTCTCAGTCAAAGGGAAAACAGTCCCCTTGACGTCTGTGATTCAATGGCCATTGGTATTGGTCTCTGTCATTCACTTCTGCAAACTACTGCTGCTTCTAGCACTTTGAGAAAGCCTCAGTTTGGCTGAACTCTGTGGGCATGGGAATGCTTTTTGTGGTGTTAAATGCCTTTTAAATGGTTACTGCAGGACAGGCCTAGGTGAGCTACTCTGGCTGATTTGAATACTAACTTC